TATGAAATTGATATCCATGCTCGTGTCTTATTTTCAACTATAATTTTATTAATATATATATCGTTTGTTTTTTGTTCTTTTTGTTATCTCAACCTGTTTTATAGTTATCTAAAACTTTGTTATACAAATCACCCAACAAATCTTTAATTACATATATTGTAATATAAAAAAAAAAAATTGATAATTTCATATTAATCAATGTATATTAATTTGAATTTCACTTGCAACTTACCATTGAGTTTAATAATAACCAAAAATATTAATTGAAATTAATAATAAAAAAAATCATTCAATTGCAAACATAAATAGAAAAACATAAATAGAGTAACCTAATGTCATAGAGATTGAACACCACTAATAAGAAATTCGAAAAATTGGAAACACATTAATATTTAGTCCTAGCATTCTCTTGATCACGACTTCATATCACCATTGCAAAGCTTTTCTTTTCTGCTTTACATCGCAATCCTGCTGTTGGTGACATACATGTTCGGCTTGTACCATTTGCTGCTTGCAAAACTGAAAATTAAAATTTATAACAAATTAGTAAATTAATTAAATTAATTAAATACTAAATTTGATATCCGAAAATGTAAACCCATCCCAATACAATATAGTGACAAATTTGAAAACTAAATAAAAATTCGTTTGTTCGAAAACACTTACTTTTCACGGAAATCTATAATTTCCGGGATATTAGAAGCAAAAAGTCGTGTAACATTCAGATATGAACTCAATTGATACTCACCTGTTGCAAAACAATATATATTAATTTGCAATATAAACTATGTATAATAATATTTAAAAAAAATTTTATTATAATATAAATATTCCAAAAATTCGCAATACCTGCAATCTTTTGTCTTGTCCTACATAACTGCATAATGAGAACCCATGGTTCTCCATTTTCCGCAGCTTGGAAGTGATTTTCACAACCAATAAACTCGTAAACATAATCGCCCCATAGTTCGCAACGCATCACTAATCCACTATCTAGTAAAAGAACAATTTTAATGTCATTAGTAAACAAATTTTATATAAATATAAGTAGAGTAATTTATATTACTTACTCCAAATCCATCATTGAAAAAGAAATCCTTTGCTTTTCTATTCCATTAATCCAATCATTCTGAATAGGTTGAACCTCGACAACCATACCAATAGCATCTACAGTATATTTAATCATAAATTAAATATTCTTTTATTAAATAATATATGAACAATTAAAAATAAAAGTTGAAGAAAAACCGTATACATCATAAATAATTACTAAAAGATCTACAATATATTAAAATAAAATATATACTAATAAATTAATTAATATATTAACAATAAAAAATTGAATTTAAAAAAAAATTCGAATCTAACATGACTAATTGGTAAAAGATTTACCATAAAGGATTGACTCATCCACAATGTCATTATTTTGTAGATGTGCAAACCTATGGAAGTCGAATTGCCATGTAGGAAAATCAGATAGCACGTGAAGGATATCAGTATCACCATCAATTATAACTTTGTAGTCTGCCTTAGTGGATCGAAATTTACCAACGTTGAGCTCTAATCGGTAATTGCGTATTATATACACGCTGTACTCCTCAAGACACCCAGCAAATATAGGTAGTCCACGAACTATACCAGTTATACGTGAACCCTAAAAACAAAGCAACATTGTTAATGAGACAATTACAAAAATTTATCAATAATTTCAATACAAATTGAATTAAATACATAAAGATACCTCCATATCGTGAAAAACGATTTCCCAATTAATTGGGTAAGATGCATCGACCGATCTATTGAAAATACTAATCGCTCTAAGCTTAAGATTCAACCTCATATTAATATTGAACTGTCTGATCAATCCTGATTGCTCCATGATAATTTTTGATTTTTTTTGGTTTACGGACAAACGTGGGGACGATTTATTTCTTAAGACGTGAGGGTTAACCGGCGGGATATTTTTTTTTTTTTGTTTCAATTGGGTGATTTATATTTATAGTGATAAGACTCATACTTAATTTCGAGGTACCCTGGAAATAATATATTAAATAATAATATAATATGTATTTCATGATAAGGGATATACGTAAATAAGGGAACAGATATATCATAGGATTGAGAGGTATACAGGAAACACATCTCTTATCATTACATATTACGATTTTCTATCATGTTATATATATATGTTAATATCTCTTGTTAATATTTAATTAAGCAGAATCTGCCAATTTTTCTAGCATGTTATATATATATATGTTAATATCGTAATTACTGTACAATATCTTTTTAGTTTTTATTCAAGTAAATTATGAAAATTTAATAATTGGAGTAATTGATATATCATTTTTTAATTTATATGGAAAGATAAAATTAAAATTGAAACCTAAGTAACACGAATTTGATTTACTAATGGACACAGTATTAAGAAAACTTGATGATGATTTGTATTCTACTAAATTATAAGATAAGATGTTAATCTCGGGAATAATTAATATAAGATTATTGTTAATATAATTTGTTATTTTTAATCATTAGAATATGAAATATTTATGTAAATAATACCCTTGTTTTGTACCCCAAAAAACTAACATAACATTTATTATCCCACGTAACGGAAAAAAAATAAATAAATGAATTCTAATAAATTGAAATTGTAAATCATTTAAAATTGACCACAATGATCAATAACGAAATACAAATAAAATGTTGATTACCAAACATAATAGAAATAATAAAATTCAACGACATGAAATAATAATACAATCCAGAATATAAATCGAAATTCTTATCAAACACTTGAGATCTTCAATATCTATTCATCCTCGGTAGTGTTGAAGAATATCACCATGTTGCGGGAAATTCCCGCCATATTTGCGTAGAAGAGTTCTTCCATGAAACACAAGTTTCCACATGTGAGTTATATCTCTTCGTCCATTATTGAATTCAACATTGTAATTGTGGATTGCATACACCTCGCCTTCATTCAGGGTACCTCGAAATAATCCCATATTCGGAGAACGTATTATGCATTTAATGAATGCACCCTATCATACAAATTTATAAATATCCATTAAAATAATTTGTCAAATCTTATAAAATTGATATAACAAATGTAAATATTACCTGTTCATCATGAAACAGTATATGGAATGCGTTCGACCTCTCCTGTTCGTGATGCGTTTCAAAAATTCGGACTGCTCTCAAACGCAGAAAAGGTTTGTTTCTCCTGCTAAGGGAATCAAGTGTACCCCAACCTGCCAGCATTATATTATCCCTATGATGTTAAATTTATATCTGTATTTTTTATTTCTCTGTACTTGTAAATGATGAGTTGTAATGGTGGAATGAAGATCCTTTTATACAATTTTTTTTCTGCACGTTTGAATTGATCCGAAATCATAATTTGGATAGATATTAAATTCCATGATTTTTGGGATGCAACAACAAAATATGCAATCATATTCACGTTTTTTTGTGTATTTTCGTAACAGATTTGCTTAGTTAAAGGGATAAGATACTTAATTAACGGGCTGTTGAATAGATAATCATATTCACGTTTTTTTTTTCAAAATTTGAGTGAGTTTTGCTTAATTAAAGGGATAAGATACTTAATTAACGGGTTGTTGAATAGATAATCATATTCACGTTTTTTTTTTTCAAAATTTGAGTGACTTTACATAAATAGAAAGTCAAAAGTCAACTCATTTTATTTTAACTTTCTAAAAATTATTTTTACATCAACCTTTTTAGATATATATAGATACATATATATATAGATATAGATTAAATAAATTACTAATTAATTTACTCATTTTTTTAATATATAGTACAAAACATTTTTATTATATGAATAAATAATTCACTTATACATTTATAATCTGTAGTTTGTTTATCCTTTTATTTTTTGTGTATTTATTTAAATCCTTTTTTTAAATTCTTTAGTATTATCTCCTTATATATAATTCTAGAATGCATTGAATCAAAGCAGCAGGCTCGCGCGCTTCGGAATCTTACTTGACAAAAATCATGCTTCGTAAGTTGGTTTGAGTAAAAAATAATGTTATTCTAAATCAATAACTTTAAGTTCGGACATTCTATAAATATTAAGAAGCTAACTTGTGTAATTCCATAATACTTTGACTAATATAAACCTTAATTTGTTTTGTAAACTTAATTAGTATTGTGTATATGACTAAATGTGTTTTTGGAATCTCTCACTTTTCCAAATTGAATGTTAGGTCAAAATGGAATCTCTCACTTTTTTAAATTTAATATTATTTATTTATTCTTAATTTTTCATATAACCTCTATGAAATCGGATATTTCTTAATCTTGTTTATTTTGACATTCATATTCTATATAAACAAAAAATGATTACATGTGTCTGTATAATGAAAATTAAATTACTTATTGATTTTAATTGAAAAATATTAAAATTGTTTATAAACTAAATAATTTAGCTATCGAGACCATTCTATATTGTGAGTTCAAAAAATATCCAATATAGGACTATCAAATCTTTATTTATGACGAGTATCATCTCAATTAGAAGTAATATTCAAATTTTTCGAGATATTTATAAATTTAAAACAAAACTTGTATTATTTTATTGTAAAAAATCTTCTCTATATATAATTCTTGAATGTGCTGAGCTTAAATGGTAGGTTGCACGCTTCGTAATCTTATGTGTCAGTTTTTTAAGCTTTGTTCTTTGACTTGGATATAATTTATGTTATTTTTAATCCAAAAATAACTAAAGCTTGAAATATTCATAAATGTACTGGATATTAATAGTCATTTTTAAGAGCATTAATTATGTTTTAACATCATTTCATATTGTAGACGTGGTTTATAAGGTATATTTTTTTTTCCCAATCTTTCTTTTTTTTCTCATATTTCTTTTAAAACTATACCAGATCTACTAACTTAAATTATAAATATATTTAAAAGTTAAGATTTTTTTATTTACTAACAATTTTTTATATATAATATATCGAATGAATCATGTCTTTATGAACTTTGATTTGTCATTTAGCCAAAAAAGCAACAAAAACTAACAAAAGAAGCACCCTCCCCACTCGGCAGCAACTCCAGCGCAACACACAAACAGGCCACCACCCAAAACGCGACCAGCCGAAAAGAGGCCACCAGACCTACAGCCCAAAACGATGGAACTAGAGAAGTACAAATTCATAATACTTTGTTGAATGTTTGCATAACACCATCTTGTTTCAAGAAAATGAAAAATATTTGCAAAAGATGAAAACTAGAGAGCCAGCATTTAGATAGACATATACTACAATCATTTACAGCCAAAAAGCAGATAAGTACGTACTTCTAGATTGATTCAGGCTCACCAGAATATAGCACGAAGAAACTTGCAGAATATGCCGACTATTATCTGCATTTTTCAGTTGCCACTCACCCGAGCAGAACTTCGAGTCACTCTCTTCTTACCCTTTGTAGCACCCAAAGTTAGAGACGGATCAGATTCTGCCACATCAGCATGGTCTTCTCTTAACATTCTGCGCCTTCTTTTTGTGGAACGCTCAGAATGCTGTGGGTTTTGAGAGTGGGCATTTGATTCGTTCAATGTTTCCTCACCTTCTGGTTTCACTATAAAGCCAGGCCACTGTGCACCGCAAGTTGGGCAAACTTTGTTGGCCTGAAAGATAATCAATTTGGTATATTAAGTAAACAAGCATGGTTGAGACTTTTGAACTACAGTTAAGGAGAAAGTACCCTTTGTTGAGAGAATTTCTTTTCCAGGCAATACTGATGAAGACGGGCATTACATGAATCATTCCCGCAAAGTTGAGCCTACTCAATATATACATAGCAGAATATGAGTTTTCATAATAAATAAATGAAACAAGCCATGTCATACGTAGTTAGGGGACTTCACAAGGCTTAAGAGTCACTAAGGAAAGCAATGTGAGCCTTCAGGAATATGTGACTAGTCCAAGACAATACATTCTCTATTTAAAAAATAAAAGCCTTCCACAGAGGACCTACAAAGAGAACACTCTCTGTAGTGGGAAAACGAGAATTCTTCATCACTCAGTAAATTCACACTCTGGTAATCTTGTACAAATGAATCCTATAGAAGTAGCATGTAAATGCCAAAACGCTACATATTAGCAAATCAAAGCATCAAGAGAAAATGTTTGCCTGTGTATTTGCAAAGGTTAGTATCAAATCAGCATGATAAACTACAAACTAAATATAGAAGGCAAAAATTCAGCACAATGCACTGACCTTAACAGCAGCCTCATTGCAAACCTCGCATGTAGGAACCTCATTAGTCCGAAACCAACTTCGTAGATCCAAAAAGGATCTAACCCCTATACCAATTTTCCCATCTGGTGTTGAAGATAGCCATTTGTCCTTCAGCAATTGTTCGAGAGTTTTTTCCTTCTGCGACATTGAAAAATTCTTAAAGGCGGGCGGGATCTGGGATGAACCTCCCTGTGATTGTGAATCTGTTGCCCCTTGAATCTGCAGTTACAACAAAAACTGTCAGTCAACGGTGGTATCATCTGGTAAAAAATAACTTTTTCCTTAGATTAGAAAGTCTCATTAACAACAAAATAAGGTTTAAAAAGAAAGACATAAACCTGTGCTTCCAAACGTATATATAAAGCATCAGTGTTGGAAATGCAACCAGTAGCTTCTGCATCTTGTATAATTGCCTCAACCTAATCCAAGATAACGTAAATGTCTAGTACAGAGGTGAAGATGCTCTATAAACTCAAGATGAACTGCAAGAAAAATTAAATAGCATATGGAATGCAAAAAAAAGTATGTTCTATTCCAGAAAATCCAAACCACACACATGACATATAAAAAATAATTCAACAATAGTTAGCCTCTTATAAACCAGAAAAACACCCATAGTAGAACAATAATTTTCAAGTACGACTATAAGAAAATTGAGACTATTTGGATCTGTAGCAATAAATAACTTGGGAAAGTACATGATTCCAAGTGCTTACCTAACTAGTCTCAAACAACAAATCAACCTAATATCGGGAAACCAGAACAAGATATTTCACCATTCTGCAAATACCTCCAGGCCAACATAACTCATTAGTAGTCCACTTACGACAACGCATTCAGCAAAAACAAGGGCAAACTATCCTAGCTGATACATGAAAATCTAAGATAACATGTCTATGTCCCATTGGAGCGGGTGAAGGTCATATAACCGCAAATGAATTTCTGCACGTATTAGAAATATTAAAAATATAAAAATTATTTCACGGCTGGGCTGTAAAATTAACAAAGTTTCATCAACATACATACAGAGAACAGTTATCCCACAATGCAATTTCTCAGCCTACACAGACAAAATTCTTGCAATAATTGAGTCATTGTCAATCTTGGTCAGTAGTTCCCACAACACAAACCTCTGACTGGACCATTTGTAGAAGAATTTCCCTTCCGCCTTATATTTTCACCAAAGAATTAAAAAAAAAAAAGGAAGAAAGCAATGAAAAAAACTCACAATTCCTTTGTAGAAAGCAATCTGAGGAACAGTGTATTTTGTTCCAAGCTTAGATTGGTCATCTGAAACATTGTTGACAACACCATAATACACACGGCCATCATATTGGTTTCGGCATGCTCTTAGTTCTAACTGAACATAACCTAATTCTGCATTTATCTTCCGAAGATATTCATTAAACAATTGCTGCTGGAAGCCTGTGAAAGAACACATGTTACCAAGAGATGGCACAAAGATCACTGAAGGCTTCTAAGTAAAAACCCACCAGAACTGCTGAACGTGCTTCAGGTAGTCTGGGGAAAACAATTGCATGCGTAATACCGAAAAATTCAAAACTTTTGTTTAGAAAAAATGTTTTAGATCTGGAAAGAGGGTTAAAACATCTCAACAAGGAACTCAATTAGACACGAGATATAATGTTGCTATACCCAACAACATTTTTAAGAGCTTCAACCGAACAAGCCCTAAAAAGGTAAATCTAGTCTAGAATCAAATTTAAGACTATGTCTAGAAAGACCTCACTCATGACAAGATAATTTCTCAGACAAAAAGTACCATCTCTTCAAGCCCATGCAATACACAGCGCACTCGCACCTCCCCAACACAAAATGCATTAGAAGAAGAGTTGATTTCAAGGATAAAAGATAAACCTGAGCTTTTTTTGTTAAGCTGTGAGAAGATAGACCGGAAATCGTCTTCCTTGAGCGGGCCCCGAGATAGCAGCGCCTGTATTAGGGTGTGGTGGCGCCAGCTCAGAGACGACATTATCCGGCGAGTATAGGAGAAGAAAAATCCGACTTTATGAGGGAAGGTGGAGAGAATAATGATTGGAAAAATTACAAGCGCCAGCCAGATTGGGAGGAGATGGGGGTTAATGGCTGAAATTGGGGCTCCAAATGGCGGGAAAAGAATTAGGGCTAATTGTGTGCGTTGAGAGCGAGTTAAAAATGGGTTTATATTAACATCCTCAATCCTTAAAATGATAAAAATTATTCAGTCTATTTTATGATCAAAGAATAATGTCAAAATAATTTTTCTAATTTTTTTTTCCTTTTTCAAACGAACAAATTATGTTAAAGACTTGAAATTTACATTCGAGTATATCCTTAAAAACTCAATTTTGTTTTAATACTTATAGGCTGAACAAGGCAGAAATTTTATCGCGCTCGTAATCATGCCACAATATGATATGCCACATATGCTATATGAAATGGTTTTATTAATTTTAGTTATCAATCCAACACTACATATATGAGGTGGATTCAATAATTTAATTAACTGTCAAGTTGTTATTTTAATTGGTATGTATCACATATTTGGCAAAATAAATCTTTGTATACAACTTGGTTATTTTGAATATATCGAGATACATATAAAACATAAATTCGAATATTATTGTATTATATATCTGTATCAGTTAGATATCCATATATAATAAATATCCATTTCAGTCGATAAATTTTTTATTCAAAATTCATTTACTTATTTTTAGAACTTTCATACAAATTGTATTTATTGCATTCTACGCATTTTTAAAGCAAAAAATCGAAGTAATTTTCAGAATTGATTACACAAGTATGGATATCGAATGCTGATATTACTTTATATGAAATTAAATAAATTTCATATTTTCTTATTATGGATATTTATTAGTTACGTTTTATTTATGGTAAGTTGCATTTTTATTGTGAAAAAAATCATAATAAATAAACTATTTAGAAAAATATTAAAAGATATATTTCGTTCATAATTGTTTTAAAAGAAAATACACAAAATAGAATAAATAATTCGAATTACATAAGTTAAATAGCTTAAAAATTTATTTCTTTTTAATTGTAGATATTTATAAGTTTTCTTTAAAAATATGATTACCCATATTAAATGATATACTGGATGCAATTTATTTTAAAAGAAATAAAATATAAATGTAACAAATTTACGGGTTTTATCAAATATGCAAATTTTCACAATCCTATAAAATTTATATATATTGTAACTTATATCACTCTTAACTGATCACGAAAAATATGCCATTTGATTAGTAAATTATTTTATTCTTGGAAACACTTCCAAATGCATTTTGATAATGTTTCGTACCAAAAATTGAATATCCCAATAAAATTTCATTCACCCACTTTATATCATAAATTACTTTAGTAATTTTCTTAAATATTTTTTTTGGCAAAAAATAGTTATTATTTTAGAAAAAAATTCATACCAAAAATATTTCACTCCCTTTATACCATAAATAAATTATTTTAGTAATTTTCTTAAATAATATTTTTTTGGTAAAAAACATTTACTATTTTAAAAATAATTAACCTCATAGGTAAAACAAATCATCAGCTCCCTCGTCTCCCGTCTCCAATCTAGAGAATATAAATGGTAACCAAATTTTGCATATTCCAAATGTAAAGCGGTGCAATAAAGCCATGACGTCATTGACGACGGAGCCACCCACCCTCCGTTCTATCCCATCCATCGCCGCCTTCTCCCCCGCCGCACCCAACCGTCGTTCATACAGATGCTACAACTGCAACCACTCCTTCCACATAACCCCCACCGCCGCCAATGCATCCTCCGCCTCCCCCTCCTCGTTCCACTGCCCTAGCTGCCACCACCGCCACCTCATCTCCCACCACACCATCTCTCCCCCGCCGCCCGCCTCTCCGACCCCGCCGCAGAACCCCGATTACGCCGCCGGCTCGAGCACCTTCGCCTACCAGACCTCCGATGACTCTGACTACGATGAAGAAGATTACGATTCCGACAGCTCCCTTCTCTCCTTCACGGCTCTCAATTCCCATCCGCGCACGCCCGCTCTGAAATCCTTCGTCCGCTCGCTTCCGATCAAAACATTTTCCCCAAATTCAACGCCGTCCCTATCTTCGTGCTCAATTTGCATAGAGGATTTTGATATCAAGCCCGGCACTTGTGTAACTATCAACGAGCTTCCGTGTGAGCATTATTTTCACAGGGATTGTATTGTCGAGTGGCTCCAGAGGAGCAATACTTGCCCTTTGTGTCGGTATAAGCTGCCTGTGGATCCTAGCGGCCAGGTAGAGGTTGCTGACACAAGCAGCAATCGGTGGGAGGTGGAGTATGATGCGGTCTTGGTGGTGGATTTAGCTCCGACTAGGAATTCAGTGTTGATGAGGAGGGATAGTGTGGAGGAGGGTCTTGTTTCTAGTGGTGGAGCCTCGGCCTCTGATAGGAGGGTTTTGGAAGCTAATGATGTGGGAGATTTAGATGTAATGCGCGATGAGGATGGTGATGTGTTGATGATTGACGCGTGATGAATATGGATTCGTTATGTGTCCAATGTGTATTGGATTTTGTGCTTTCGGTATACTACCGTGTTATATATCAGTTTTTGCTCTTTTTAGTTCTTTGTCGTTAATTAATAAAGAATGGTATTTATGGTATTATTGATTTTGATTATAGCCCAGCGATACTTAGATCATTCGTAGTTCTGTAGTGTATGTGGTGATTTTTTAATTTTCTTTGAGGTAATTGTGTGTTGTGGTTTTGTTTTTGAATTCTGATTGTTACTCTTGGGTTTGACATGAATTTTATGTCCTTGATGAAATCCTATATCAAACACAGTTTGTCTAGAGTGTGTGAACATCAGATAAGTTGAAACTTTGTCGACTGGTAAATTTGGGGGTTTGACAGGATGAACACATTTTGCATTGACATCGAGGTTGACATAATAGTACAATTATGTCTTTCTATTTCTTTTCACTTAGTTGTTGCCTAGTTATTAAAAGCTCTTTGATCCTTTATGTCACCTTTTTTTCGCGCCTCGACACTCGTACATGTATAATGATTTTGAATATTTTTAATTGTGTAATTTATCTGTGTGGTGCATAAAGGGATCATCTTGAGACAGTTTATTTCATGATTCTGTCAAGGTTTTAGTTTCAGTAGCCATATTTATTTGTTTCCTTTAACTGTGCTTTCCTGTTGGCATTCCACAAAAAAAACGTGTGGAACTAAGAACACAGTTTCTTTCGACTTCTGGTTGTCAAATGCTTTGGTCCATACTTTTGTGATTGCATGAAATCTACTATTTCCACCCTTACAACTCAAAGTCACACCAAAGACAGAGTTTTCCCACTTTAGTTTGCTGCATGCTTGTGTTAAGCTGGCAGCAAATATGCTGATCTTATTTTGGTTTTCTGCGTGCAGGTTATTACTACTCTATGGAATTAGTTTGTGCTAGGAGTTTAAAATCATGAACCTGGGATCACATGCTTCTTGTCAGAATTTTATATTTTGCTTGTAGTCTTTTGCAAATGAAGCAGCAGGCCTTGGAGCCTGGACGATCAATAGGTCAAAAGTCAGCTGAAGAGGATTTTATTGGGAAAAAGATTGCAAAGAAATGAACAGATCTCATGACCGAGAGATCGTGGAATGGTGACAGAAAATATATATGTATAAAGGATTAATGTATACAGATGCAGTAATCATTGAATTATGGATTCATTTGAGATTGTAATTATGTATTTATCAAATCAATAAAATTGAAAGAGTAAACGTGGATGGTTTTTGTGTGTGAATAAAGCACGTGGCTGCTGTTGCTCCTACAGGTAAATTTTTGCTGCTCAATTTGATGTAAATTATCAGTTTGACCTGATAGCTGTGACTTCTTTAGCCTTTCTTCTTCTCTGTTATGAAGTATGCTTGACGTCTGAGTGTACACATGTATTCCTACTCTTGGCATCTATGGAATTATTTTTCCTCCTTCTCCTTGTCCTAGAAATGTTAAAGACGTACGTGTTTTATTTTCACATAGGTACCTTTTGCTCCCTGCTCTGGTGATGAATTTCTTATTTTCCTTTTAACCATGACAGAAAACTATACTTGTACACATTTGTACATATCATTTGCTTTACTTGAAAAATCATTTTGTGCATGAATACAGAGATGGGGAAGTCTATGCCACTTACTACAGCTATGATATGTAACTCTGCAAGCATTTCAAATACCATATTTGTGGATGTATCCATGTAGCTTGTTGGGTCTGCAATGCATTTGAATTTGAGTGTATATATAGATGTTTGGACTGTCATGTGAATGCATAGAGGACTTTTGAGCTTTGAGTTTATTTCTTCAAATTCGTTATGGTTATTCACCTTTCTCCAATCACGCGAGAGAATAAATGTCATCGGCTTGTAGAAAAGCCAATTGCTTTAAACTTTAAAGTCATTTGTACATTTTGTGGACAACCTATTCATCTCATATAGCAAATACTTAGGTCACTTAGGTGTGCCACTAGGTGTGCCAGGGCCTTTTGTGAAATACAGCTCCTTCAAAAGCGCGTGAGGTAAGGAGGTAGAGTATTTTTTTTTAAAATGGGACATGTGTCCCATTTCTATTGGGTAATGAATTTCATATATCATATTATATAAATTAAATTATCATTCATATTTTGTATCAAAAAATAAAAATAAAAATACCAAAATTCATAATTTTTCATTCTCTACAAATAGAGACCACATTTGATATTTTTTGGAACACAATTAATTTATCATTTTTTACAATTAATTTATCTTATTGGAAGATTATGACGTAAATCTATAATTAAATGAATATGTTGTATAGTAAGATGAACAAGTTATAGAGGAAGATGAACATGTCATAGAATAAGATGAAAATGTTACATTTTCATAGATGAAATTTAGATGAACATGTTCTAAAATAAGATGAACATGTTACATAATAAAATGAACATGTTATAGAATAAGATGAACATGTTACATAATAAAATGATCATGTTATAGAATAAGATGAACATGTTACATACACAATAAGGCGAACATGTTATAAAATAAGATGAATATGTTACCAAAATGAGATGAACATGTTATAAAATAAGATGAATATGTATTATTTCAATCTGCAATTTGTAACATGTTCATCTTATTTGAAAACATATTCATTTTGTTATGTAACATGTTCATTATATGTCAGTATAATAAAATAATTACGAAAAAAGGAAAAATTAGTTGTGTTAAAAACCTATCAAATGTGGTCTCTATTTATAGATAATGAAAAATTATGAATTTTGGTATTTTTATTTTATTTTTTTAATATAAATAATTAATGATATTTTAATTTATGTAATATGTCTCATTTTTCAATTAAAAAAGGAAAAATAGGAATGTGCACTACACTCTCCAAATTTTCTAGTTCTTTGAGGTGAGATGGCGCGTGCAAATTTGCCCTGGCACACCTAGTTAGGTGTGCCAGGGCACACGGTAGTGCTACTGCATCTCATATAGGAGTATATCCAAGTGTGCCAGAGCACACGGTAGTGCTACTGCATCTCATATAGGAGTATATCCAACAAAGCCTTAAAAAACGTGTCACGTGTCTGATGACACGTGTTATAGTGATTTTCACTTTTTATCTATGAAACTTGGGACCACGGGAAAACACACAGAGAAACTCGTATGCTATCCATATAGAAGCTTACAAAAGCTCATGTAAATACAAAACGTGCAACTGTAATAAACAAACACAAGCATTTAATTATCTCAAACTTTGTCGTGTTTTTCTTTTTTTGTTTTTTGGTACAATGTCGTGTTTTTCTTTAATCTCAATTCACTACCGTATCGTAGTTTTTTCGGTTGAATTTAACCATCAACATCAACGTAATCTGAAAAGAAGGCAAAATCATTCATAATTAGACGGAATGAATTAAAAATTTCTCTTCAATGTGCTGTACCCAGTTTAGACTACCCAACTAAAATTGAATGATGAAGTCATCAAATGCAAACAGTAACAAATCCGGACTCCCGGGATATTCGCTAGAAAACAAGAAAAATAAGAGAAAAACACATACAATTATGCCAGATAAATTTTATAATCAAAATAATTACAACATACTCACTAACATGTCCGTAGAATAAAATAAAAATAAATAAAAAATAAAATAAAAAAACCAACCTCCTTCCATTAAAAGGTTGCGTAGAAAAGGTAAAAACCTCTTATTTTCCCTAATGGCATGATTGGTACGAAGGAATGACATGAGAATGATTCCTCATTCCTATTCCCATGATTGCTATATTTTTTGAGAAGGAATGATCATTCCAATGGGAATGACAAAACTCATCTCCATGGGATTAGCCATTCCATAGTAAATGGAAGGTTTTCTCATTCTCATGTGTGTAGGAATCAATTTTTCAAAAAATAGAATTAACAAATAATAATAATAAATAAATATATAATATATAATATAAATCATGATTAAAATATATTAAATAAAATTATTTTTAAAAAAAATTCAAATAAAAAAATTAAAAACTTACTTTTATTTATTTTTTAATTAGATATATTAAATACTTATATAAAAATAAAACTAAAAAAGCATTTATATATAATTTAAAAATATATTGTTTTATTTTTATATATTACTAAAAATATATTATTTTTTATATATTAAAAATATATTACTTTTAAAAATATATTATTAAAAATATATTATTGAAAAAGATATTAAATATATATATTATTAAAAATATATTACTTTATTTTTAAATAATATTAAAAATATATTATTTTAAAAAATAAAATTCAAATAAAAAATTAAAAACTTACTTTTGTTTACTGTTTAAAATAAGAATAAAATTGATATTATTAAAAATATATTACTTTTTATTTTTAAATATTATTAAAAATATATTATTTTTTATATATTAAAAATATATTACTTTTAAGAATATATTATTTTTTATATATAATTTTAAAATATATTATGTTATTTTTATATATTATTAATAATATATATTATTTTTATATTATTAAACAATATATTATTCTATTTTTATATATTATTCAAAATATATTATTAAAAATAGTTTATTTTATTTTTATATAGTATTAAAAAAGCATTTATAATTTATTAAAAGTATATTATTTTTTAAAAAAAGCTTTTATTTATTTTTATAATAATAAATAATAATGTCATTCAATTCCAGCCTTATTCATTCTGCATACCAAACGCATCAATGACAAAACATATTTCATTCCATTCTTCAATTTATTCCATTCTTACCAAATTTCATTTCATCGTAGCAATCATGTCATAATTCTCGTGGAGCTCCATTGACATAAGTAGATATATATGTATACGTACACCTCAGAAAGCATAGAATTCGAAAGGCTCCATGCTCATATTTCTTCTTTTCTTCGAACCCCCCACCAAACAAGAAACAGAAATCAACCTATTCCCCGTAAAGGGAACTTTCCCCAAAGAATGTCATCCATATAATGGATCTGAAAATGAACCATTTTTCGCCGACATCCTTAATCCGAACACCGACTCTCCTGACAAAGCGAACAATGGCTTCCATTTTCACGGTCACATTCACATTCATTTTCATTGCATTCGCCACAATTTTCCTGTTAGGAAACTCTCACATCCACCATCAATCCCCTGAATGGTTCAAGAATATACTCAACAACAGGTCGCAGTTTCCTTCTTATCTATTTCGCACAAAAAACAACAATAATGCCGATCAACAGTTTGATAAAAAGATCAACTCCTCCGTTTTGCAAAACGGGCCCGCATTAGCTCCTTCGGAAAGCAACTCGAATGTTACCAAGAGTTCCTATTCCACCTCATTGCCTGCAGAGAAGAAGGAAAAGAATTGGCTTGAGAAGATGAGCAAATGTGATATATACGAGGGGAAATGGGTGAAAGACGATTCTCCTCCTTTATACGAACGTGGTTCGTGTCGTCACATTGAGGAGTCTTTTAATTGCTATTTGAACGGAAGGCCTGACTATGGCTATGAAAAATTCAGATGGCAGCCTAATCATTGCAATATACCAAGGTGATGTAGAGTAAGTAATTTGTATTTGTGTATATTTTAGGATATTGTGTTTCTTTTTTTAAATTGGTATTGAGGAAGTTGTTTTGCTGATATAGATTGGACGGTCAGAAAATGTTGAAATTCTTTAGAGGGAAGAGGATAGTTTATGTGGGGGACTCTTTGAACAGGAACATGTGGGATTCAATGGTTTGTCTGCTCACAAATTCTGTCAAGGATAAAAGCAGAGTCTTTGAGGCTTCTGGCAAAACTGAATTCAAGAAAGAAGGGGCGTACGCCTTTCTATTTCCGGTAAGTTCTAGGTAAGTTATAGGCACAAATCTAAAAGGAGACTGTTTGTTATTGTAACTACGAAAGATCAAGTTGTATATTGTGTTCAGGTTAGAACTCAAGAGCAATCCAGCAATCAGCCTCAAGAGCATTCTTCGCGTTTAGAAAACTTTAAGTTAAAGATGGATAATCACAAAATGAAATAGTGATGTGTAAAACATGTCTGAACTCTTAGTTTACAATTTGTATAGGACTATAATTTCTCGGTGGAGTACATTAGATCTGCTTTTCTTGTTCAAGAATCGGAAGTCCCAGTGAACAATGGTACCAAAGAGACACTTCGACTTGATCTAATTGAGAAGTCATACGAGACTTATAAAGATGCAGATGTGCTCATCTTCAACACAGGGAACTGGTGGACTCACGAGAAAACATCCGAAGGGTATCATTTCTATTTTAATTTATTTTAATTTTTTTTGTCACATGATTCGCATCATCATTCTTTTGCAGAATATGAAATGGAATGAATTAGTAAGATGAAAATGCATATCTTGTAGGAAAGGATACTATCAAGAAGGCGACCATGTTCACGAAAAGCTAGACGTTGTCGAAGCTTTTGATAGAGCTATGGCTACTTGGGCGAGATGGGTGGAGGCCAATGTGGACCCTATGAAAACCCATGTTTTCTTTAGAAGTTATACTCTGTCTCATTTCAGGTAAACCAGAAATCCCTAAATTGTAACTTTTGTTACAGAAAGTACCCATGAAATTTTCCAAACTATAAAAAACCTCGCCATTTCTTCAATAATACAACCCTCTTGATACTTGTATCACATTTCAAATTGCATGGCTAACCAAAATTTACAGAAATGCATGTACCCTTTATAGCCAAAATGCATCACTCCACTCATTCAAATCTCAATGGCCTTTTTTGTAATATGAAAGTTAGATGGGTCTTTTATGTAGTTAAATCAAAATTAATCTATATTGTCATCATGACTATTAAACTAAGAAAATGCATCTAAATTATATGTGTAATTAAGTNGTGGAATTCCGGCGGACAATGTGACGACAAAGAACCGATTAAGGACGACAAAGATTTACTGAGGCTAGATGAACTTAGCCCCCCAATACCTCTCATGCTCGAAAACTCCCTCAAAAAGGTAAAAGCACCAGTTTCGTACCTAAATGTCACCAGAATGACAAACTACCGGCAAGACGCACACCCTTCATTGTATCGCAAGCCAAACATGACACAAGAAGAAAAACAAGAATTCCAAACGCATCAAGACTGCAGCCATTGGTGTCTGCCTGGAGTGCCCGACACTTGGAACCAACTTTTATTTGCTCAACTTTTGTTACGAGATAAACAGCGCCAGTGGAATCAGACCATTAATGTAAGCACGTGAAGTAGATTTTATATTGGCTTACACTCTCCGGTTGATTTGCCTCAGAACTCAAACCAACTTATGAGTATATGACCCTTTCAAATGCTAGTGTTTTCAAAGAGATATGGTGAAGAAATAGTAGGCAAGTGCTGAGGAGTCTATAGAGATTGAGGAATTATTCATGGTGCAGTTAAAACTGTGTATTTTAAAGGCAATCCTTGAGCCTCTTGTTAGCCTTTTCTCCTACAAGGATCGTGTTNTTTTTCATGATCTTGTGAAACTTGGGAGTAAAAGAAGATGAGACTTTCCAGAGGGATTCTGCTTTTGCGAGTGTTAGACACTGTAAAATGACATTACATAAAAGTTCACAGCAACATAGATTGCATGTTTTTATTTCATTTCAATGTGTCAACTGTGAATAGCAATTGCACATGAATCTTCTGATACAAGAAGTTCAAGCCCTTGTGATGCCTCTACGATTTCTACAACATGTGCTAAGCTAAGTATATAATATGCAATATTATACATACCTTATGGAATAAAGAAAAAAGTGAGAAAGCTAGTGAGGACATGTGAATGCATTATTGAGTTCATTATTGGCCAGACTTGGTGAAGCGCGTGCCAACATGGCTCACGTCAGGGATGACGTTAATCATCTTGTACGACCCTCATTGACGAGTTCATTTTGAATAAGGGGACATAAGAAAATTAGACCAGAGTCTAGCTTGAAGCTCTCTCTTTCTTTTAAACTTTCTTTCTCCCATGTCCATGTGTGAGTAGTGAAAGGTTCCTTCTTAGGAACTTAAGATTGCAATCAAAGGCTTGGATGAATAACTAGTGTTCATACAAGAACTCTTGTAACAATGTATGAATTTGAATAAAAATATCCAGTTTGTTTGAACTCGTGATCATGTCCTGGAGGCCGACTTGCTAATCAAAGGGAAGAAGCACCATAAAGGGAAACAGTACCTGTGGCACAAGCTTGGAGTCGATAAAACATTTTACAAGAAGTTTCTTTTAATGCTGTAGCCATATCCTAGATAGCTCTCTGAGAAGCAGTTTAAGTTTCTAAGAAAGGACTTTTAATTTGTCAAGAAAGGTTTCAAAACCAAAAATTAAATAAGTATTAATTGAAGAAAATGATAATTTTTTGCTTAACCAATAAGAGTAGTGTTTAAAGACATAAATTGTGTCAAAACATTAAGAAACAAATTGTTGAATTAACAAAATGTTAAAAGAAGAAGAACAAAAGTTAGATAACTTAATTCAAACTTATCACACTGCACCGACAGATATTAAAATAGCAAGTGTTTTCGAAGGTATAATGGAATGCTCTCTTTCATTAACGCAATTAAGAAGTCTATAAAGAAAGCAGAAAAACAAGCATACCTTTTAAATGCTTAGTAAATAAAGCCTTTTCGACTAAAAACTCTAAATTAAATTCACTGTTCATTACTTTTGGATAATTGCTTAATTGCATTCTTCAACATGTTTTTTAATCCGCACCGGAATCAACCAGTCTAAAATCTTGGTATTAGAGCCTAGTATCAAAGAAAAATCATGTTAGATAATAGATCTTTCAATCAATATTTTCTGAACTCGTTTTCCAATACGAAATTAAAATTCAGAATAGGGAATACCAGTATTCGTGATCCCATCTTAAGTTGAAGATAGCTGTAAAACCTGTTTGAAATATGAATTCCAATACGGATAATGAAAACAGAGATGTAGAACAAGATCTATGTCTTAATAGTGTTCTTTCACAAATTTCAATTAATGAAAATGAAAAAGGATTTAAAGCTAGTTTAGCAATAAAACATGATGTTTTGACAAAGATTCAAAAATCCAAGTTACATGAAAAAATGAAATCTTTTATTTTGTTAACACGCAAGAATTGCCTGTAGGTATAAGAGATGTTAAAGGAACAGTATATCTGCCTTTACTTACTAAAGCAAAAATACGAAAAAATTTAGAGAAGATACCATCTTCTATAAGAAGTAAATTTCAGCAATCCATTTAGGAGCAATAAAAATCTTGCTTAAAGCTGAGTTTCAAGAAGAGATTGATACCCCTATAAAAATGGCATTAATTGATGGCCGAATTAATGATAGAAAAGATTGCATATTAGGTGTAGCAAGAGGAAGTCTTGCATATGGTAAGTTTATCTTAAATTTGGAATGTCTATCCAGACTGCAAATTTAGATAAAACTTTATCTTTCATTCATCATTTTGAAAGAGATAGCTTAATGAACTCTAGAGACAAAATCTTTAGTACTACATATGTTATAAGTTATGCTTTAACGAATAGTCATCATATTGTTAGGTTCGCTATACTATACGGATTAAAATCGCAGCGGAAATTATACAATATAATTATCATTTATCAAATAAATACTTAATCCGTAAGTACATATAGCGAATAAAATGATCGCCATCTTTTAAAATCACGTAAAAATGCGAATTTTAATTTGTAGAGAATTTTGAAAATTACCTTTATTTTCTTCGAATAACAACGATGAAGAGGAAATCGATTCCCGGTTATGTGGCTATCACCGTCTTCTTACTCCTCAAGGGATCCAAGTGTCTCCCCTCTAATCGAGTCCACCTTTTGGATTCCGATTCCGAGAACAATTATTTCGCTAGTAGAAATTTTTCGGAATTGAATCGGTATAAGGAATTAAATTGAGAGGAGAATTTTTTTTTTTTAATTTTTCTGTGAAAAACTCGAGAACATCTAATGCCATCTTTCACAAAATAGATGGGAAAAGTTGCAGGTTATTTCCTCTGTACATCTCATGTACACATATCTATATATATATTAAAGTGAAGCAATTAAAAATTCCCTCCAAAACTATATTAATTACTAGAAATAAATTTTACCAACTTCTATGCAAAATTTTCATCAAAAACTATATTTACTACATTGAAATAAATTTTTATCAATTTCTATGCATGATTTATCAATAAAAAAATATTTGTTACATATGAAAAATTAATTTATATTCATAATTGTATTGGAATTTGCACTCCAATTTCTCTTGGCTAAATAAATGTTTCAACTACTTATATGACCATGAAATAAATTTTGTTAATTTCTATGTATTATTTACCATTCAAACAATATCATAATTATTTTTTACAAATAAATACTTATTTTAGTCATAATCAATTATTGTACAAATTTCCGTTAAATATTTTTATGCTTTGTGAGTGACATAATTATTTGTTACAGATAATATTTAATACTATACATAATTATTTATTATGAATTCTCATTTCAATATCCCACTTATTATTTGTCTCTCTTCCCATTTGTGAGTATGAGTTCCTTTTCTTATATATTATATTTTTTCCTTAAAAATAAATTATCAATCTCATTTAATTAATCATTAAAATAATTTTTAAAGTAAATTTTTTATTTAATATCATTTATTTTTTTATACATATTTATTTATTTTTGAATATCAGACACAATATTAATTTTTTCGGTTATATTCGAAATATTTCAAGGTAAAATAGAATAAATCATAATTAATACAATATCTGCATGTAATATAATAATAAATATTTTTATAGTTTTGAATTTGGTATCTATATTGCATATATATAGATAAACTTCTAGATTCGATATGTCAATTTAAAATTCTATGCCGTTTATTTTAGCATACACATGTTCAATGTTTACATATAAATATCTAATAATAGCACTATAGTGTTAATTTGCATTTTAATTTTTTATTAATTATTGTTTCATTTTCTTCCTTTATGAGTAACGTAACTATTTGGATATGAGAAAATTTATACAATGCCTCAAAATGTACATTGTATATGTCATAATATATACACACGTACACATAAGCACACACACACATGCATATAAGCTAAGTACCTTGGAGAAAAAAAAAAAAAAAGAAGAAGCTCAAAACTACATTTTTATCTAGAAATAAATTTTGTCAATTGATAAGTATGATATATCATGAAAACGCAACAAACACTCAAGAAGACGTCGGGCAACGAGTATAATTATTTATTTAAGTAGAATAATTAAGTTTATATATAATTATGCATTGAAACTTGCACTTCAATACTCATGGCATTGAAACTAAAGTTACATTTTTCGTTAAAAAAATGTTTGAAACTAAAGCTATATATATAATCTAATAAATTTGTTTGCAACATAAAAAATATGCAAATAGAGAGAGATGTATAAAAAATAAAGTTATATTCGGTAGCCTCTTTGTGAGTTGGCCCTCTTTCCTTAGTAGCGGCTTGCTGCGATTCTTTTTTGTCATAAATGATGTATTACTCGACTAAAAGGGATAACCTAAAAAAACAAAATAAAAAGTATCATCTACGGGTATTGGGGACGAACTTGCATATCCATATGAAATATATCTTGAAGATAGTGAATAACATTTACTTGGGCAAAAAAAAAATCTGAATTTAGGTTTCTCTTATCAATATCAACCATGAATATGAAAAAATAAAGTAAAAGAAAAAAACAACATAGAATCGAACATGACATCTAATTTGAATGTCCTTATGGGTAAAAAATACATACATATATATATATATATATATAACAATAAAATAAAAAAATAAAAATATTATAAATGATAGCATACAAATAGAGAGAGTGACATGATTTCAAAGAGGTGCAACTCATGTCTTTAAGTGTGAAGACTAAAGAGAAATTCATACTGGTTTCTGTTTGATTGGAGGTGTTGTTTGACCCAAAAACATAATGTTTGTTTAATTTTTTTAATTTTTATTTTGTATAGTTTATTTTATTTTTTGCCAAAATCTTGAAGAGGCCATCTAAACATATGTGCAAAAAAGTTTTGACATTGTTTTAATTTCTTTATTAGTCTATAAATATAAAACTATAATTCATGAGAAAAGAAAAAGCATAATGGGTCAATTTGTTTTTAATTTTTTATTTGCATATCAATATTCTTCATAAAAATGATGGAAATATATAGTATTTATCAAAACATTACGACAAATAAAGTTCTGCACGACATATCACAAATGCAGCAACTATTTTTTTAATCATATATCTCAAGTGTTAGTTTTTATTTATTATTATTTTAGAGCTATATATTTCCATTTAAATAATTTTTATTATTTTTTTTGCAAATGCTATCAATGTATATTTCTAATAAAATAAGCTAAATTAAATTCTCATAAATTCAATGAAAAACAAGTGTCGGTAGTTGATCTAAATAGTGAAGGTTTGATTGTTGCTAATGTGGCCTAAAATATAAAGAACAAAAAAGAACGTCACGAAAGAATATAGTAACAAAGAATTGATACATATATAAACATTTATACTTTGAAAAAAAATAGATGGACATCTATTGTCACAATTGGTATTCAACATAAAAATTAGATGATTTATTTTATTGTTTGAACATGACATCAGAATTCGGCTTTATTTACGGGTAAAAAATAGACTAATATTACGTAATAATATTGTTAAAGAAGAAACAAAAAAAAGAAAATGATGAGAGAGAGAGAGAGAGAGAGTCTCAACCATAAGTTAGAGAAAGAATGATTGTATTATTTTGCTTGTGAAGACTGAATAAGACCATATATATATTTTTTTCAATTATTACGTGGAAATTGTGTTTTATATGAGACATTTCATATCATTTTGGTCCTAATTGATTGAACAACTGAGTCCAAAATAAATAGTTTGTTTAATTTATTTTGTTTAGTTGATATCATTTGTTTCATATATGTATAAGTTTGTGGTCATTTAAAAGTTTGTGACTAAAGTGATCGCCCTTATTTTAGTTTGTTTATTGATCCACATTTTTTTTATGAATGAAATAGCATAATGTATTAATTATTGTTAAAATTTTATTATTATAATACATAATTTTCTCTTAAGAAAATGAAGAGTACGTATTATGGAGCATGTTTGTTTATGGAATTTTTCAAAAAATTTCTAACATTTTAACTCAACCACTTTTTTTAACTCAACTTTAACTCAACCCACTATCATCAAAATTATCAATATAATTAAATAATATCAATCAATCATTCATGCACACCACATCAACTTTAATTCACTATTCATCCACTCACATTAATTCAACTAACCATCACTTCAAATCTCTCTCTCCTACTTTTACATCAAATCAATTTTAATTATTTTATTTTAAATATTATTTTAATATACCCACTAACAACTAACCATACCACCTTTTTCAAAATTAACCAAACCAAATTAAAAAATCCAAACAAAACAAAAAAAAAAAATTTATAAACCAACATGCTCTAAATCCTTGCAATAATATCTTAATGCATCAACTACATTTTATTATAATTTATCATAAATGTTAGTTTTATCAACATAAAATTACTCTTTTATTATGCCTATCCATAACTTACAAAAAATGATATATCTTACATGTCATTCTGATCAACGTCAGACTTATTTTGCAAAGAAATGAATTATTGAAATTATTTTGCCAATTAATAGAAGTAAAAAAAAATATATGTATCTAATTTGAAACTAAATGCATGTGGTTCGATGGGTCATTTTTGTACTTTTTTTCTTAAGTATTTAGTTCATATTTTTTATTTTAATTTTCTTATATTAGTACATATTTATTTCAGTTATTCTATATCAATTTATCTATATAATAGTAATAATGTCTTTATTTATTAATAAATTATGAAAATTATGTTATTATCAACACATTTTAGAAAAAAATTTCAAGAAGTGTCATTAATGTGACAAATATTTTTTTATCGCCAAATATAACCAATGTGTTATCGTTAAATTCATTAAATTTAAATTTTCTATGAAAGAAAAAATACATTGTATTTTTTAGTCACAATCAGTTATATATTTATGTTTAGAGTCATGGATCAGTTATATATTTATGTTTAGAGTCATGGATCACTAATGTCTGGTGATTATTATTTATGATCATAATATTGATAATGCATACAATTCATCCACTAATAATGTTATATTTAGGAAAACATTTAAAATATAATAAATACAAATTTTATCCTACATTTTAATTGAATATTTTTTTATTTACTTAAATTATAATTCATCACATTATTTTTAACATCAGGCCGCGCAACGCGCGGGTGACGTACTAGTACATTTATATATCTAATTGAGAGAGCAAGTTGGAGAAATATATATATCTATCTATCTATCTATCTCCCTCTACCTTATAAGAAAACAACATAAGGCCTTTGTTTCCCGACACGTGGCATGGTTGTTTGCTCTCCATTTGAGTCAAACGGCAGCGTTTTGACCCTTATTTTTTAGCTGCGTTTTAGTTCCCCTTTGCCAATTGAAGGGCCGGCGACGTGCACGTGTGCGTTTGAGACCACTTTTTTTTTCTTTTCAAAAACGACACCGTTTAATTGCTTTGGAAAAAAGAAAAAAAATATCGATTGAAATTTGTTCAGGGACTCATTTCGATTCATTGATTATCGTCTTCGCTGCTTAGACTACGTCCGTCTTCTATTCGATCGGCTCCGTTCACTGTGTTCCGTTGCTTTGGGTTTTAGGCTCCATTGTTTTTGGGTTGGGGTTTTTGTTTGCTTTCTCGTTTATTTTCGTTTTAATTTTATTTCGAATTGATTGTTCAATAAGCCCGTTTTTTGTTGTAAATTGGTGTTCATTTTAAAATTCTGTATGTATTTCTTCTTCAAAGGAAGAAAACTCTTGCGTGCTATTTCTTGTTTTATTCTCGATGATGGCATTTTTGGGCTGATTGCTAGCGGTATGGGGGTTCTATAAGTCTATGTGCTGAATTTCCGCCGTTAATTGTTGAGGATGGGAAGGAAAAATCTTTTGAGGTATGGCCTTCGACTAGACTTTTCCTGTGGGAGCAGTTCGGCTGTTTTTTACC